GGGGGGGGGGGTATGCTTCACCCTAAAGCCCAGATGATGTGAAGGTTTGGGCAGTTTTCCATAATCGTGAGAATTTCCATTGGTTGCAAATGGTGCAGGTTTAACAGAAATGGGGACTGTCCCAACCAGGGTGCTTGGTTAGTACCCGGAGCTGGATGCACTCGTCTCACAGACGAGGAGCCCGAGACGTGGGGAGGAAGGACCAAGGGGACTTTGAGCCCCACGTGTGCTGGGTGCACCGGGTTCTGTCATGTGTCCTTTCGTTTTGTGAAACCCTGACTCCGGCCCTGTCGTAGGTACTTGCATTTCCGTCCTGAGGTGGAGACAGGGTTTCTCAGCCTCGGCACTGTCGACATTTGGGGGCCGGATCGTTCTCTGTGGTCAGGGCTGTCCTGTGCCCTGTAGGAAGCTCGGTAGCATCCCTACCGGGTTGTGAAGCCACAGATGTCTCCAGACATTGCCACATGTCTCCGGGGAGCAAAATTGCCCCAGTTGAGAACCATAGCATTGGGGACAGTCACAGAGAGTCTAGCATTAAACCCAAGATTACACTGCTGATGATTAGTGAGGCTGGGACCCTGTCCCCTCCGGGTCCCTGCTGAGCCCCCGTCTCAAGGAGGGGCCAGCAGCCTGGGGGTCGGGGAGCAGCTGCTCCGGGCAGAGCCGGGGACCCAGAACTGCGTGGAGTGTGGCCTTTCTCAGGAGACCTCATTAGCGCTCAGACACCCCCTGTTAGAGTGGGTCTTCCCCTGGCACCTGGGATGGCCCAGAGGACACCATGCCGGGCAGACACATATTTAAGGACCAGTAAATTTGTTTGTTTGTTTTTTAATATGTTTTTATTGATTTCAGAGAGAGGGAGGGAGAGAGAGAGACAGGAAATCAATGATGAGAGTCATCGATCGGCTGCCTCCTGCACGCCCCCTGCTGGGTATCGAACCCACAACCCGGGCATGTGCCCTGACTGGGAATCGAACCAGTGACCTCTTGGTTCATGGGTCGACTCTCAACCACTGAGCCACGCCGGGTGCGTGTGAATCTGCTTTTGAACCCAAACCAGAAAGGCTGCCTGCGGGGCTGTGGTGCCGTGTACAGGGCTGTGGTGCCGTGTACAGGGCTGTGGTGCCGCCTGCGGGGCTGTGGCGCCCGCAGCTCCTGGGCCCCGTGTCGGCGGGAGTCCCACCTCTCGGCCTCCCTCCCCTCTTCCCCTATTGCAGTCAGAAAGGAGGTGCAGCCCAGGCCTGACAGGTGCTGTTTTTTTATTTCCCCCGACAGCGCACCTCTTGACCTCTATCTTCTCACCAATGATTTTTTAAATCCTAAATGATTTGGCGATAATTGCTCCTCCTCGTGTGATTATTGCCCTTCACCGATAGTAAATCTGTGAGCTCCCCGGGGCCCGAGCACATTTGGTATTCGGAGCCCACACACTGCCCAGACAGGCCTCACTGCCCCGGCTGCACACAGGCGGCCCCCCACCCTGCAGTCCCCGCACCCACAGTCC